TTGCTTGGATGGACACGGCCAGCAAGCACATGCCGCGCAACGCGGCGTTGACTGCGGCAGGGGGCTTGAAAGACGGCATCGGCATCACTCCTCGGGGCGAGAGACCGATAACGACAGCCATGGGCGACGGCAGAGCACCAGAACGACTACCAGGAGGCGCAGGACAGAAAGCCAGACAGCACGCGGAGCGCAACAACCTGTTCGCATCGAGCACGCTGGACAGCCCGCGCCCGACCTACTTCGGCACGACCCACGCGAGCCGCGTTGATTACATCATGCGACCGCAACATCTCACGAAGACGCTCATTGCACAAGGACCACTTCTACGACTGGGAGCGCGACTGTAGCATGCCCCATGCCGAGCACGCCACTTTCCGACTCCCATTGCGACAACGAGCACGACGCCAATGTAAGCCCCCATCAATGGAACAGGGGCGGTTTCGCGCAGGCGGTCCGCGATGGCTACCACAAGGCGGAGTTCATCCAGGACATTGAGAGGGCCATGGAGACGAACGCCCCAGAGGGCAAAGGAGTGGACCAGCGTGTCAGCGTCGCGAACGAGATATTGATTACGGAAGCGCAGACGCACTACGGCCAGACGCCCAAGCAGACGACCGAGCACGAACGACTACGAGACGACCGCAGGCTCCTACTACGAAAACGACGAGAAGCCAGGGCCGCACTCCTCGCAGAGCATGAAGGTCCCACGCCAAAGGCTGCACTCCGAATCACAGATCCCGAGTCACTCCCACCGACCCGATGGGGCCGCCAGGATGGGGCTGGGGCCCAGGGGGCCGAGACCCAGGGAGACAGAGAAACCCGCGACAGCAACCCATGCGCCGATCCAGTGCCAGCACCCATCACAGAGAGCGAATCTAAGATGGTCGCCTTGGAGGCACAATTTCGAAGTAGCACGAAACAGCGCCAGCAGATGAGGAAGATAGAGCACCAGAAGCGCACGAGAGCCAGGATCGAGGAGATCAGCGAGGCATGGGAACAGAGGGACTTGGCTCGAGTTGGAAGATTGTCAAGGTTGATATCAGTATGACGCTGTGGACCAAGAAAACGCGGTTACTGGACGGCGACGACAGCGAACCCAAGCAAGCAGGAGTGGATCGAGTTTCGGCAGCAACCAGGAGGAGCAGGAGGCATGGACGGCACCGAGCAGGACTGCGAGACCATCGAAGAGATACCGCACAACGCAGAGGAGCAAGACTACTACAAAGACGACCTCGAGGAGAAAGTGGAGGAGGACTATACGGAGATTGCGAGGTCATTCAAACGAGCACGGCAACGACGAGCAGCACCACCTCCAGCAGCACCATCGGAGATCTGGCGACTATTTCTTTGCGTCCACGACCACGAACAACCGCAGCGACAGAGACGCGGGCTTGGACGCCACCGCGACCACCGCGAACCCGAACAATGTCAAGCATTGATCAAGGCAGCCCTGGCGGCCATCCGCATCCGCAACGCGACGCCAGTCCGCCGGCACCAGAGCTCGGAGACCACAGTCAAGAAGAACGCCAAGAAGGGCCCAACAGGCAAGATAATCTTCGCACCAGGGACCCGTTCGGCATGGCGCATTACGCGGCAGGGATCCGACGCCAGAACGCCACGACCTACAGCGACCAGGACTACGGCTGCGTCAATGGCAGGCGCCGCGAGGGGGCGATCCTGACCATGGCGGTGGGACTACCAGGCAAAGTGGCGGAAGCGACGCACTTGGGCCCGAACATCAGCAACCCAGAACTACCGGCACGAGCTTCAGAAAAGAGTACAGGCCATGAAGAAGAGCTACTACGAGTGCCGCGGCTTCTGGACAAAGCGAGACATCCCCTACCGATGGAAGCGAGCAGTCTTGACATGCAGAGTCGTCAACACAGACCTATCGTGCATAGAGTGCTTCCTGCCGACGCTGACGGAGCACCGCGCGCTGCAGAGCGCGATGGGGGCGCTCGTGAGGAAGGCGATGGCAGGCCGCGCGAGCACGTGCCGAGCGGACGGCGCCGTCCGCAGCATGACGACGCTGGAGGCCTTTCGCTTCTGCCAAGTACTGCCACCAGCGGAGGAAGCACTGGTCCGCAGGCTTGGCTGGTCAAAACACATATTGCGATTTCCGAGCAATCATCGACATCTCATCGCCGCCTTGGTTTGGACGCCTCGGCGTCGAGAGAGCGGAGACACTTCGGGACCGAATTTCGTTGCATTCGAGGAGAAGACGTCGGGCCCGAGAACGAGAACGACGGAAACGAGCTGGCGACACATGCGAATCCGTGGGCCCGAAGAATCGTGAACGACGCATATATATATATATATATATATATATATATATATATATAATATATAAAAAAAAAAAAAAAAAAAAAAAAAAAAAAAAAAAAAAAAAAAAAAAAAACAAAAAAAAAAAAAAAAAAAAAAAAAAAAAAAAAAAAAAAAAAAAAAAAAAAAAAAAAAAAAAAAAAAAAAAAAAAACGCGCGCCGTGTCTCGGAGAGCTTCAGAACCATCTTCGGGAAGCAGGAGATCACGATTGGTAAGATGTTCAGGCTGACGATTAGAGAACAGCTCCACCTACTAGATGCACGCGAGGTCAGAGCAGCTAAACTGATTGTGGCTATCCCCCCGCCTGGACAGGCCCAAAACGACGAACTCATCGAAGACCTGGCCCTCCAGGATCTCCATCCGTGCAAAAATGCGAACGCAGGGATGGAGCGGAAGAATGTGGGCCCCTCTTCTCGGGCCAGAGCGTTTCACTTCTCGGGCAAGAAAGCGCTTCGCAGCCACGTCGCGCGAAATCAGCATGTTCACAATTTAGCGGCTCAGTTAACTACGAACAGCGAGTGCAGCAATTGCTACCAGGCATTTGAAAGCCGCGGGGCCGCATGGAAACACCTAGCCAGAAGTGCGACGGCAGGGTGCTGCAATCGAGGTCGAACGAGAAACCAGCGCCACCCGTCGAAACCGAAAACGACATGCCCGTTCTGCAGCCATCTAGCACTAGACAAGGGTTCCTTCGTCCAGCATCTCTGCGCGCGCCTCCCGTGACCACTTCTACGCCAGCGCTGAGCTGATGGTGCTCTTGGACCAGCGCCCGCTGTGGGCGCCAGCGGCGCTGGCAGCAACAGCAGGAGGGCCGCCCCGCCCAGACCGCAGCCGCCAACCGCGACGCCCGCTCGGAGGGGCACCCGCTGGGCCAGCAGGAGGCGCGGCGCCCAACAACGCGCTGGTGGTGGACCTCACGGCGCGCCGGACGCTCACGTTGACCAGGGAGCAGGCAGAGTTAACGGCGGCGGCGACGCAGACGTGGGAGATCGACACGAACAGCGGCGCCGCCAAGGCAGCGCTGGCAGCAGGACGCGCGTACAACGAGCAGGCACAGGAATTGCGACGCCGCGCGGCCACGGGCGAGCAGGTGGACACGGCATCGTTGGGCAGCCCGCACAGGTAGCGAACTACATAGGACGGGCCCTCGACGAAGGGCCAGACGCGATCACCTGGATAAGTACTACCAGGGCGCAATTTTATCTGGCAGCGCAGAGGCTGCGGCGGACGGCATTCCAGTTTCCAGGGCGCGCAAGAACAAGGGCAAAGAGGGGGGAGCTCAGGAGCGATGCCTGTTCCAGTTTTCGGTCAAGGCCACGCTGCACCAGATCGAGACGATCTCCGCGCGCCAACTGCGCAAGGAGGGAGCTATTCGCAAGACGGGATCGGCACCGAGGGGAGCGCTGGAGCGCGAGTTGGGCCGCCTGATCAATGGTCAGCAGCAGAGGTACGAGACACAGCTCAGGGCGCAGTTCACCGTGAGACGCCCCAGGCAACTTGCAACAGTGAGCGCGAGACCGACGGCCGTGAGAAAACAGTCCAGCTCTGTCCAGTTTCGAGGGCCGATGCAACCCGTGCGATCCCGCAGGCCTTCAGAACAAGTGCGTTTCAGAATGCGAGTCAGGGAAGGCCGCCCCCCCACTCCTCCTCCGTCGACCGAAACTCCCGACCTCGACCAACTCCGAGGCCAGAGCTTCCCTGAATCTTATGCAATGCGCCGACCGCCCCCCCCCCCCCCCCCCCCCGAACCGAAGAGAAATGGAAGGGGGAGGGGGGGGCCGAGCAGGGGGGAAGAAGAGCGAGCGAGAGGGCACTCGTAAAAAGCGGGTGCTACCCTGCCCGCGACCCCCTGCGCGGGGGAGGTCGGTGCAGGTAGGGCCCGAGCGTCGACTGGCGCCTGCGACCCCCT